ACAATTTTAACAGGACTAAATGGCAGTAAAAATTCTGTCTGCAGAAGGTATAGATTGTATTATATATCTTGTTACTGAGAAAAAAAATCAATATTCCACTAGATGGAGCAAAGCGGCAGTAGCTTTACAGATGGGCAGTGTGAGTCCCTCAGCCAGGCTTAAGAGAGTTTGAAATAAATAACAAAATTTCAGAGAAAACTCAGTGTACAGAATTTGAAAAATACATATTTATAATCTAATGAAATTTAAAAGGGTATTTATAATGATCTCCTTAAACATTTCATTTCTTTCTGGTTTATAAGACATAGGAATGTTTGATTTCTTCAGATTTATACCAGTTTGTCTGATCAGGTCTTACACAAAGCTATGACAGTTAAGGGATAGAATAAATTTACAGGTTTCTGTGAATACTGAACACTTAATTCTATCAATTCAGTTGCCCTGAAATTTTATCATTTTGCAATGACATCTTTATATGAAATTTCACGGTCTTTCTTAATGACTACAATATATCAGGATTTGAAAGCTAGATACTTTTAGAGTCTATTCAGTCAAATGTTCTCATAACTTAAGTTAGTCCTGAAATACAAAAGTTTAATGAAGGAGCTCTAGTAGCCTAGTGGTTACGGGCTGTCAACCTCAAGGTCAGCAGTTTGAAACTACCACCAGTGGTTCTGCGGGAGAAAGATGAAGCATTCTACTCCCATAAAAATGTACAGCCTCACAAATGCTGTACAGGGTCACTATGAATCAGAACCAACTCCACAGTACTTACCACCAACCAACAATGACGTAAATAACATTACTTTCTACAATTTATGATGAGTGAATCCAAACCAACATGCCTTTAAAAATGTACTTGCTTTATAATTGTCAATTCCAAAATAATACTTATTTTATCATTTTCTTAATCTTAACTTTATATATGAACTAGAAGAGTCTGAAGTTCAGTATTGGAAAAGCAGTTTAGTGCCTAACCAGATTTTAGGAGGAACCAAACAGGACAAACATGTGATGTTCTCAAAAGAAAACATACAAAACATGGAAGGAGTCATATCACCTATTTTGCATAAATCTTTGCTAAAATATATGCCTCCGGTCCTAGAGAAAACCACTCTTTTATGAAACACATGAAGAAAATATGACAATGGAGGAAAGCATCTATGTGCATAGGTTGTTGATTGTTGTTATTGTTGTTAAGTCCGTGGACTCAGTTCCAACTCTTAGTGAACCTGAACAGAGTTTCCGAGGCTGTAAATCTTTATGGGAGCAGAAAGCCTCATCTTTCGCCTGCAGAACAGCTGGTAGTTTCGAACTGCTGACCTTGAGGTTAGCAGCCCGATTCGTAGCCACTATGCTGTTATTGAGTAGAGGATTCTAATGTCCCCTTATATTTGAATAATTTTCCTGGACTTGCATTCAAACTCAGTGACTGCAAGGGATCTGGTATTTTGTAATTTAAAGCCCCTCTGATATTCAGTATTTCATCTCCAAGTGATAAAGTAAGGTCACTATTATAATGCATGCTATATATTTCTCTTCCCACAGGATGGGATTTAGAAGCTTAGAGTTTGAATCCCAGAGTACATAGTCATATTCTGAAGGGACAGGGCAAAGAAATTGTGAGGAGAAAAAGGAAGGAGCTTTGGTTTATAATTCAAGGTCTGGTGGGAACATTAAAAAAATGTAGGTCCAATTTCCTGCAATCAAGAGTTTTTCAGAGTTTGATAATGATTTCCCAGCTGTATTACTTGGGTGAATTGTTTTTAGTTGTGGGTATTCTATCGATATATATGTATATATACATATACATATGTATAATGTTCACGTAAATAATATATATATATGTGTGTGTGTGTGTGTGTGTGTGTGTGTAAAATGGAAGAGGATCATATTCATCTTGCTGATAGAAAGCAGGGAATATAATTCCCAGTGCTTCTCCCAACTTTCTCTTTGCCTGGAGGAAAGTATGGCTTCGTGCTAAAGTGTGAAAAAAAAAGGTTGAGTGTAGTATGTCAAGCATATTTCAGCTTGATTTGTGTCAACCCTAATAAGTCAGTTGACAGAATAATAAATTGGGTGTCTGCTCACAATCTGGCACCTGTACAGGGAATAAAAAGCATTTCAATTGCAGGCAGGTTCTGTTTGTTTTATAAATTAAAATTTTTCAGAGGCTTTCTTTTATTGAAGGTTTAGTATCTTAATGCCTATTTCAACTGAAACTGAAAAGGAAGATAGCAAATTATATAGCATAGTGGTTACGAACCTCAATGTCAGCAGTTTGAAACTACCAGCTGTTCCGCGGGAGAAAGATGAGGCTTTCTGCTCCCATAAAGATTTACAGCCTAGCAAACCCTAGGGTCACACAGGGCCATTAGGAGTCGGAACCGACTCCACAGCACATAACCAACCAACAAATATATATATAGGACTGGTGTAATGCTGTGGGTTAATTCATTGGACTGCAAAGTCAGCTTGAACTTCAAGATCAATGGTTCAAGCTTAATAGCCACTCCTTGGAAATGCTATACAGGGTCACTATGGGTCGGAACCAACTCCACAACACTTAACAACAACAACGGATATATACTGAACTGCTGAGAATTTTAAGAGGCAGATAGATGTGTTTACTATGATCATGACTTTATCCTCAGTGTTGTGTGTGTTTTTATCCTCAGTGTTGTGTGTGTTTTTATCCTCAGTGTTGTGTGTGTTTTTATCCTCAGTGTTGTGTGTGTTGTCTGGCTTCTTGCTTTTGTTGTGGACTGAGTTAATCTGTGAATGCATCTGCTTTGACACTATGAACTAGAGGTTACATTAAAATCTGTAGATTATTTCAAGTCTTTTTGCATTTCCTAAATTTTAAGTTTTCTTTGTGTATAATATTTTTTAGAACACTGATTCTCAAGTGGAGTCAATCCTGCTACCCCACTTAGTAAACATTTGGAAAATGTCTGGAGACAAGTTTGTTGTCACAACGAGAGTAGGCAGTGGTATTACTGTTATCTAGTGGATCGAGGCCAGTTATGCTGTTAAACACCATAAAATACACAGGACAACCCCTTACTATAAAGGCTTATCTGATCCACAATGGCAGTAATGACATTGTTGAGAAGCCATAGTCTAAATATGTAAAAGTTGTCAACCAAACTAGCAATCTGTAAAAGACAATCTGTTCCATTCCCCTACTTTGACAAATATTTCTTGATAACAACTTGGAAGGCAGGTTTTATATTCCATATTCTTGGACTCCTTGTAATTCCAGAGCAGTGTGTGAAGCACATCCCATAGCATCACCATATACACATGTGTATGGACATGGTATAGATGGTTCAAGCTCTGTCTTTGTGTCTAAAAACAGTCCTGCTTGCTCACCTAATCAGGCCCGGATATCTGCACACATGCAGAGATCTGACCGTAGGAAAACCGGACTAGGAATGAAGCCCACACAAGCCCTTAAGTCAGATGCAGGGATGCTTTGGCAAGGGATTCTGAGGTGCCCAAAGCATGGCCTATGTTGTGGTAGGTGTCTTGGGCAGGCAGTTCTTTTGGCACAAAAGCTGTTCCAGGGGTGACAGGCAGAAATCCTCCTCACAGCCATGTAATCTCAAACTGAAAATTGAGTTTTAACATGTGGTAAATGGAAGTCTTCCCAAATGAACGCATAAGAATTGTCATCTCCATTAGTTATGTGTATTAATGCTGCTGTGAAGTAGGAAAAATTCAGTGTAAAAGAGATTCTTTTAAAATTTCATAATTAAAGTAGAGAGAAGAATAAAATTAAAGGCCCATATATCTTTAAGATCCAATAGCATGGCAATTCATAGACTCTACTGTATAATTCCTAGTGTAGTGATTTAGGATAAGTACTAAACTATGAACCATAAGGTAAGCAATTCAAAGCCAACAGCCACTCCTCGGAAACCCTATATAGAGTCGCTATGAGTCAGAACCTACACAAGGGCACTTAACAACAAACAATAACAACTGTGTATCAGAAGACGCTATGACAATGATAAATTGTAATGATACAATAACTTGAGCTGCTTCTTCAACTTTTATCTGAAATTAGAATATTTCAATCTTTTTTCTTGTTTTCAACCCAAGCTGAATAAATACTAGGTAGAATGATCAAGTAATTTTACATTTTAATGATAAATATAGAAGAAAAGTTAGGTCACTTAAATTTACAAAACGAAAAAGAATGAGAATCTTTTTAATGTTGATCAGAGTGTTTAAAATGAAATAGTATTAACACTGAATTATATTATGTATAATTTGACAGTTCTTGAAATTAGAGTTTTCAGATGTTTGATAAAATGGACAAGATATATTCTACTGCCTACTTCCTTTTTTATAATAACAACTGTTTATTGTAGCTTGGTTTGTAGTCCTTTATATAGGAGAAGGTTATTCCTATATATCTTGTGATCTCCAGTTTATATTCTCTACAAGAAATATTGAAATGCTAAGAGATTCTAAAATATTATTTTAAATATACCATCTAAAAACATAAAAAATGTGTACATATGTGTGTGTTTGTGTGAAAGAATGAGGGAGGGAAAGTGAATAGAATTATATAGAAACAACTTTAAAATAAAAACCATTTTAAGGTAGTAGCATATTTTAAGGCAATTTTTCAATTATTTTAAAAATATGTTACCAATAATTTCTACCTTTTGTATGTTCTTTAAAAAGTCCTCTTCTTGTGTTTGTCTGTGAACTTTAGAAATGACAGTCACAGAAACTAAGCCCCAGAGACCCAATGAAATTAAGAACACACACAGCTTACATCCATGGTGTCTATGAAACAAAATGAAACATCATGTGAATCATTATGATACCAAGAAATTGAGCAGTATGAAGTAAAGTGGAAGGGAGAACGTGCTTCATTTTGACATATGCATACATTAATTTTAAAACATTTTCTAAAATGTAACATAATTTTACATTTGAAACTTAAAAAATAAGGTACTTATTTCTGAATTGTATTTTTCAAGTCTGCTTTTTAGGAGCATTGAACTGACGAGTTACGTTTATATCTGGGAGAACTATAGACTCTTTAATTTGCCTTGGGATTCTCCATGGACTTGGTATTTGACCTTCTTAGGAGTTGACTTTGGCTACTACTGGTTCCATCGCATGGCCCATGGTAAGTTGTAAATCAAGGCTTTACTGATAATTTATGTTGAACTGTATTTGGCAAATAGTATGTCTTCAGTGATTATTTATTGAATGAATTAATGAGTGAATAAAAGTGCATTTTATGTTATATTAAGATTAATAAAAGTTTACTTTGAAATTTGAATGGATGTAATTTGAAGTCTCTTTTGAAAATAGAAAATTATTGGAGGTCCATTTTTAAGCTTTGTATTAAATTTATATTAAAAATTGACAAAGTGGAGAATATAGTATTATTAAAAATATATTGCCTTATGTTAAACCTATTACAACATTCACACAATATCAAACTAAGCATCAGAATTATCAAGGGTGACTCAGAAGAAGTCTACAACATCATGTATTCCTAGGCAATGTGTGTATGGTACAATGAGTTCTTTATGTGACCTTTGGCCTTCTTTCTTTGGAAAAATAGTTTGGGAGGTTTTTCCCTAAGTACTAATGAGTTGTTACCTTTGCCCAAGTTATTTTCAAAAGTAATTTGGGGGCATTTCCCAGGTTGCTTTCTATCTCAGAAGGTTGTTGCTTTTGACCAAGGGAAGAGCAAGTCTCTGCTATATGAAAATAATACTTTTGCTGAAGTCCTAAGTTGACTGACGTGTCATGGCTAATTGATTGAGTTAACAGAGTTGAACTCTAGAATAATGAAGGAGGCTTTGCTTTGTAATGGTTGAGGACTGGTATATAGAGAGAGTTGAAATACAGAAACTTACAAGACCTCCTGTTAGATAGAAACAAAAAGGGAAATGAGTCAGGCCTGGTAAGATATGGTGTAACAGAAATAGCTGCCAGCTAAGATCTGGGATAGCAGGGCCATATGGGAGCAAAGCAGTCCTGAAGTTGCTACACTGGTTATGAACTGGGTCAGTAATCAAAGGAGAGTCCAACAGTGCTTAGCCTCAAAATAGAACATCTGATGACACAAAAGACCAATATCAGAGAACTGATGGTAGAAAAATCTGAGGCAGAGGTGGGTCGACTAGCAGATACAAGGGTGACAACAGAGTTGACAACAATAAGGAGTCTGATGATCAAGAGGCCTTCATGGTAGAAGAAAACTTCCCAGCAAAGAAACAAAATTGGGAAACCAGTTTGGCAGAGAAAGCAACTTCCCAGCAGAGAAGTTATGCCAAATGATCATTAAAGAATTGCAATGGCATTGGCTAAGAACAGTCTTAGAGCTGCTCCAATGGACATCTTATCAAGTCCATCAGGTTTTTGCTCTGAAAGCTGGCCTGCTCAGAAGCTGTTCTGTACTGAAGAAGACAGATATGTGCTCTTCACTTGGAGGACCCTTCCAAATCTTACTTGTGTGCTGTCTGAGGTTGTTAGCAAGTTGTTCTGTTACTTCAGAGTTGATCCTGATCCTAAGTTGTGACCTGTTATTTCCTTAATAAATCATAAAACTGTGACTGTGGTCTGTGAGTTCTGTGTGGACATTACAATGAATTACCAAACCCAGAAGAGAAGACAATGCTGTAGGGAAAACAGCTAGTGCCAGAAATAATGGAGAAGTGGAAAGGCAGAAATATACCTGACCTCCACCTTTTGGAACCAACTTTGTGCTGATCCTGATTCTTATCCCTCATGAATTTAGATGATTCATTATGCTATATCACAGTGTGCTGTGATACATAAGCTTAATTCAATTTCTTGGCAGTATATCTTCATTGCATATGAAAATGATAAGAGATAGGTAGGTAGGTGATAAGCATAATGCACTTCAGTCTTACAGAGTTTTGCAAAATGTCTCATCTAATACGAAGTCCTCATTCACTGAATTCGCTTTTGAGACTGTTCCTTCTAAAGACTTATTTTGGAAAAGGAAAGGGAAATAGAAGAGCAAGAAGTGACTGATGAACATCTGTAGAGATGCATAATGTTTGGAAAATGAATGTGGCACTAAGGTGAGCAAGTGGTCTCTGAGGAGGAATCAGGCATATGAAAATATTTCTGAAGGAATACTTGGGAATGTAATTGTTTTTAAAAAATACTTAGAAGCAGAACTCAGAATTTCAGTGAATGGTTAATTTGAATGTGTGGGAAGGAAGGAAGGAAGCAAGAAAAAGAAACCTGGAACAATAATAAAATATAGATGGAAGATGGAAAGAATAGACCCAACATCAGAGTGAGTAAGTGAGCTGTGTGTGTAGGAGTATTTTTGATCAAATGTCCTTTTTATGCAAAGATGAAGGAAATAGGAGTCATGTCAACAACTGTTATGGTTAATGCTGCTAGACTTTAAATATCATACTCTGTTTGTTAAGCACTGTAAGCATGTGCCTTTTATGAAACTATGAGTGTTAACTAATTAAAACAATTTGAGGTGAATACGTAATCTAGACAAAAAAACTGTTTTTTGTTACAACCTATGTCTTTTAAGATGATAAGTCATTTCCTGGAATATACTACAAAAGAATACTGTCCAAATGAATACAATTAAGAATAAAATATGGCCAGCTTATAAACTGTATATATTTTTAAAGTGGTAGATTTTTCCCCTCAAAATAAATTGATTTGCAATCTTCCTCATTTTCTATGCAATAATTGGGTAACACAGAAAGTAACAATGTAAAATATTAAATCTAGAAATACACTGGTATAAGAGAAACCTTAAATTTCTTGAGCCTCTTGGATAACTAAACTTAAACTAAGTGATTGAGGTTATTAAACTTTAAACAATTCTAAAACCTAAATATTTATTTTAAAGTATAAGAGGAAATAACATATACTTGAATTTTTGTGCTCTGCTTATATTTAATAACCTATTTAGTAACCCAAATCATTGCTAGGTTTAGTTATTTTTTTATTATTTTTTTATTTGGCACCTATTTAGCATTTTCCCACATTAAGGGGATAGTTTAGTATTGCTCTATGAAGGGAACCTCAGCATTCTAAATTTGTCTGTGGCCTCCAGTTTATCTTCATTACTTCCTACTGAAAAACATGTCACATATGGCAGACATCTTTATCTGAGTTCCTTCTCTATAATCCCATTCACAGTGATCCCATAACTAATGGTAACCAGTTGTCCATATAATCCCTTAAAATGTGTGTTTGCTGAAGCATTACCATTATTTCCTCATAGGGAGTCCCTTTTAAGGGAGATTTTCTACTTGAACTTATTGTTCTTGTCACTGGTAGCAACTGTCAAATTTAGAGCCAAAGTCCAACCTTCCTTTGCAGTTCTTAGATTCCAGATGTAGATTATATATATAAAGAATATTTGAAACAAAGATTATGACCCTTATCAAGAAGTTGCAAATGTACACACATTGAGTTGTAATTTAACAGAGGAATCATACACTTGATAAGGAAGACTAAGAATGGTCAGGAATCTCTAAAAGCCTGTTTTGGAACTCTGATAATGAATTGCTGAAATATTCCCAGGAAATGTTTTAAGGAATCATTTGGAGAATTTGAAGAACAGTTTGACAGTAGTAACATTTTTCAGGAGTTAAATAAAGCTGTGAAATGACTACTCAAAAAGAAATTAGAAGACAAAGATGTACTAAAGATTAATGAGTTTTCACTGGTTGGTGAGTCAGCTTGGGGATGGAGAAGATGTGTTGTTTTTCTTCTATTCCTAGGATGTAGTGCACGTACCTATTACATAGCAGAAAGAACATTGAAATTTGAGTCCTAAGATGTAGATGTGCATCCCTGAGTATCCCTTGTTGTTGTTGTTGTTAAGTGCCGTCAAGTCGGTTCCGACCCCTTAACCATACACAAACCAAGCTAAACCAAACCCTTGGCCGTTGAGTCCATTTTGACTCATAGCAACCTTATAGGACAGTGTGTTGTTGTTGTTGTTATGCGTCATTGAGTCGGTTCTGACCCATAGCAACCCTTTATAGGATTGCTGAGAAATGGATGGTGATCTTGAACCATTGACCTTGCAGTTTAAACCAACTTTATAGTCTAGCTCATTAACCTAAAGTGCCACACCCATTGGGTTTCCAAGGCTATAAATCTTTATGGAAGCTGACTACAACATTTTCCTCTTATGGAGTGGTTTGTGGGTTTGAACCACCAACCATTGAATTAACAGCTGAGCATGTAATCACAGTGCTTCTACCAGTTGGACCTTGTGACCTTGGATTAGCCTCTCTGAGATAGATTTTATTTATCTCCTAATTTTATGAATAGGTTTTTGTAAAATGATTTTGAATTTGCAGAAACCAAGTAAATATTTATTTTATAAGTGAATGAATGAATAAACCAACTAAGAGAACACAATGGAGGTTATGTGAAGACATTTTTTACAGACTGTGTTATAGACTAACATTAACACAGATAATAATATATTTTATTTAATAAATAGTTACTATAAGAAAATGTAATAAAACTGAGTCCTGGTGTGGCACTGTAGGATAAGCACCTGACCTTAAGATCAATTTGAACCACAAAGTGAGTGGTTCAAATTCACCAGCCATTCCTCAGAAACCATATACAAGGTCGCTGTGAGTCGGAACTGACTTGTCCACACTTAGCAAGAACAACAACAACAATAATAAAATTATAAGATGTTTTTCTTTTACACTTATTTATGTACCTGAAGTGAATGTTGTACAACTTGAAACTTTTTGTAAATCAAGCTAATTCATGCTCCATTAACTTTCAATACTTGCATGTTCTTTTTCAGTATTGAAAATTTTTGAAGAAAGCAAGATCCTTTTGCATTTGTACATTTTATCTACATTTAAAAGTTTATTTGCTTTCTTTTCATCTTAATTAAATATTTAATCTGCCAAAAATGGTTTTTCAGCTCAGAGATTGAAATGACTTTTCCAGAATCGAGAAAATGACTTAAAAAAAATTACTATAACAGATTTTTCCTTTCTTTTTTACTCAAACAGTATTTATCCGTTATCATCCAATATGAAGCCTTGTATATCTATATTTCTTAGAATGCCTTTCAAGGTGTAATTTTACATCACAGACTTACTATAGCTATAAAGATACATGTAT